GCAGGACAGGTGTGATGAGGCAGGACAGGTGTGATGAGGCAGGACAGGTGTGTCCGCAGCGTGTTGCAAAGTAAATGGAAGTGCAGTGAGTGAAACTTTGCATCATTAAGCCCAATGGAACCTGGAACCTTGAGATGGAGGCAGGTTAAAATACAGAAAATAAAAGACATGGTTTCACAACAAAGACCTGATTAAAGAACATGTGTCAGAACATCTGTCAACACCTGGGGTGATTAAAGGAACAGTTTGGCCTCCACACATTCAATTATCATTATTAGGATTTGTAGTCGCACAGCTGGCTGCTCTCGGCTTAACTTAAAGTCTGAAAATGAAAACCTTTGTCTCAGGTCACGTTTTATTCAACCACATCTGGATCTGCTTAAACTAAAGTATAATTTTTAAGAACCGAACGAATGGAAGGTGCGGCAACGACAAAATGAGCGCAGCGATCATCAAAGTTCATGCTCCGAGATCAGGCCAGGTCCTCTGGACGCTTCCTTTGTGTGACTGTACCAGTGGGACCAGTTAGTGCAACCATCTAAACATGAACTCACAAATCAGCCTGTATTCTACACGTTAATGCCTCTGAGCCTCGTACAACCCAGACCTGTCAGTGAGCGTATCGAAGGGCAAAGTGAAGTTACACCTGTTGCAGTTTTAAAAACATCTGACTGAACTAATGCAGACCAGTTAAAACCAGTCGTTTCTGACAATTTACTTTGTTGCACCAACGTCAAAATGAAAATCCATTAAACACTGCGTCAGTTACTGAACAACATGAGTATTTTTCACATACCGGTAATCGAGAAACTACCGGAAGTACTAAAAAAACAGGTAAAGATGCTGCTGTGAATCAACAGGTTTCAAAATAAACTTTACAGGTGTGTGTGTGCGCGCGTGTGTGTGCGTGTGTGTGTGTGTGCGTGTGCACCTTATTGGAAATAAGGAAAACAATCTGAAAACCATCCAGTCAAAATTTATAGAGACTCTGACCGGTTGTCCTGGTGGTCCCGTGCACACGCCTGACCGGTTGTC